GGGCCTAGACCCTTCTTCAGAAGGGTCATTTTCTGAAGAAGGGTCTAGGCCCGAAACGTCGGCCTTCCTGCCCTTCTGATGCTGCTTGGCCTGCTGTGTTCATCCAGCTCCACACCTTGACGCAGATTTGGGGACTGTCTCCTTGCCCAGCCCCATACTGCTACCACAGCATAAGCCACATTTCTTCTGAAAGATGGCACCTCCACCAGAGAACTCCTTCCTCAGCACAGCCCTGCAGCGCGAGCCGTAATTTTGTGTTTGGATCTGTCAGGGTTTTATGGAGTTGCAAGTTTCTAATTCAGAGGTGGAATGCTATCACTGAGTTACAGCTGACGCTTCAAATATACCAGCATAAAGATATAATTTTAATCGGCTTGAGTTATTGATGGATCATCCACTAGCTAATTAAGTATAATGACAATCAGAGCTAAACTATTGTCATTTTCTCTCACCTCAGATAAATTATTCTGTATTTTAAAGGAATGGTTCAAAATTGTTAATAGGAAAGCAAAATACTGCAAATGAGGGAAATGTGGAATGAGACATCAAAAATGTTGCAAATACCCAGCACAATGATGGAGAAAAACAACATTGAGCTTTCTCTCTTCATAGACATTGCCTCCCCTGCTGAGAATTTCCAGCATTATGTATTTAAGTTTCTTGTTGTTCTTGCCTGACTGGGTACAGCTGGGCATGTATTATCTCTTAGAAGGTCTACAATCAAGATTAAGTACACAAGTGCTGCTGATTTTGCTTGTCTTTTTCAACATTTGTTCAGTGCATGTGGGCATCACTGGGATGGACGACTTTTTATTGTCTGTCACTAACTGTCATTGCGATAGTGATGATGAGTCATGTTCTTCAACCCCCAGTGCAGTCCTTGGGGGGTAGGTACATGCACAATGTTGTTAGGAAGGGAATTCCAAGCTTCTGAGCCACTGGCAGTGAAGGAATGGTGAAACAGTTCCAAGTTGGGATATGTGGCATGGAGAGGAACTTGCAGGTGATGGTGCTCCAATGGAAAGTTATAATCATGCGGAAAGAGATACTGAGCAAACTGATGGTGCTATGGGCTGAAAGGTCTCAAAGTCCTGATGGACTTCATTCTAGGATCTTAAAAAGAGGTTGCCAGTGAGTTAGTGGATGCATTGGTGTTAATTTTCCAAACTTCCTTAGCTTCAGGAAAGATTCCATTGGAGTCGAATGCAGGAAACATAACCTCTCCAAGAAAGGAGAGTGGCAGAAAGCAGACAGCTATGGGCCCATTAGCTTGATTCTTTGGGAAGGAGTTAGAATCAATCATTTAAAGACATTATAGCTGCACACTTAGAAGATCCTGAGGTAATCTGGAACAGTCCGCAAGGTTTTATCAAAGGCAAATCATGTTTAACCAATCTATCACAGTTCTTTTGAAGGATTAGCATGCCCTGTGGATAAATGAGAGCCTAAAGATGTATTTTCCTTGGATTTCAAAAAGGCATTTGATAATTAAAGGTTATTGCAGAAAACAAAAGCTCATCATGTTAAGCATAACATGGATACCAGATTGGATGGCGCTCAGGAAACAAAAAGTATACATAAATAGGTCCTTATCAGATTGGCAGGATGTGACACATGGAGTCGTGTAAGAGGCCCTGCTGGGCCTTCAGTGTTTTGCTGTTTAAGATATGTTAGCTAAATTTGTAACAACGGCAAGCTGGGTAGGAAAATGTGTTGTGAAAGTAACATAACGAAGTTGAGTTTAGTGGGCGGTCAAAAATACCTTTTGCCCTACCAAAGTGGAACACCTCACATTTATCTGAATCAAACTCCATCCGCCAGTCTTAGGCCTGCCTGATCAAGGTCCCACTGTACTCTGAGGTAACCTTCTTTGCTGTTTACTGCACCTCCAGTTTTGGTGCCATCTGCAAACTTAGTAATCACACCTCCTGTGTTCACGTCCAAATCATTTATATAACTGACAAAAAGCAGTGGACCGAGCACCAATCCTTGTGGCACACCACTGGACGCAGGCCTCCAGTCTGAAAAGCAACCCTCCACCACCACCCTCTGTCTCCTTCCTTCAAGCCAGTTCCGTATCCACGTGGCTAGTTCTCCCTGTATTCCATGTGATGTAACCTTGCTGACCAGTCTACCGTGCAGAACCTTGTCGAATGTCTTACTGAAGTTCATATAGATCACGTCCACCGCTCTGCTTTCATCAATCCTCTTTGTTGCTTCTTCAAAAAACTCAATCAAGTTAGTGAGACACGACTTCCCATGCACAAAGCCATGTTCACTATCCCTAATCAGTCCTTGCCTTTCCAAATACATGTGAATCCCATCCAACAATTTGTCCACCACTGATGTCAGGCTTAGCACTCTATGGTTCCCTGGCTTTTCCTTACCACTTTTCTTAAATAGTGGCACCACATTAGCAAACTTCCAGTCTTCTGGCACCTCTTCTGTAGCTATCGATGATATAAATATCTCAGGGTGCCAGCAATCACTTCCCTAGCTTCCAACAGAGTTCTAGGGTACACCTGATCAAGTCCTGGGGATTTATCCACCTTTATGCGTTTTGAGACTTCCAGTACCACCACCTCTGTAATATGGACATTTTCCCAAGATGTTGCTAGTTATTTCCCCATGTTCTCTAGCTTCCACATCCTCCCTCAGAGTAAACACTGATGCAAAATGCTCGTTTAGTATCTCCCCCCCACAACAAATCTCCTGCATTTCCACACACATGCAGTCTTGCTGATCTTTAAGCGGTCCTTTGTCTCCCTTGTTACTCTTTTGTCCTTCATGTATTAGTAGAATCTCTTTGGATTCTCTTTAACTCTATTTGTCAAAACTAGCTCATGTCCCCATTTTGCCCTCCTGATTTCCCCTCTTAAGTATACCTCTACCTCTACTGCCTTGATACCCTCCTCTGGATTCACTCGATACCTGCAGTATATACCTGACATATGCTTCCTTCTTTTTCTTGACCAAAACCTCTCTTTCTCTTGTCATTCAGCACTTCCTACATCTACCAGCTTTGCCCTTCACTGTAACAGGCTCTGGACTTTCATTATCTCATTTTTGAAGGCTTCCCATTTTCCAGCTATCCCTTTACCTGTGAATATCTGTCCCCAATCAAATTTTGAAAGTTCTTGCCTAATACTGTCAAAATTGGCCTTCCTCCAATTTAGAACTTTAACTTTTAAATCCAGTCTATCCTTTTCCATCACTATTTTAAAACTAAAAGAATTATGGTCACTGGCCCAAAGTGCTCTCCCACTGACACCTCAGTCACCTGGCCTGCCTATTTCCCAAGAGTAGGTCATGTTTTGCACCTTCTGTAGTAGGTACTTCTAAATACTGAATCAGAAAATTTTCTTGTACACACTTAACAAATTCCTTTCAATCTGAATCCTTAACAATATGGCAGCCCCATTCTATGTTTGGAAAGTTAAATTTTCCTACCATTACCATCCTGTTATTCTTACAGATAACTGAGATCTTGTAAATTTTTTTCTCAGTTTCCTGCTGGCTGTTGGGGGTCTATAGTACAATCCCAATAAGGTGATCATCCCTTGCTTATTTCTCCGTTCCATCCAAATACCTTCCCTGGATGCCCTCCCAGGAATAACTTGCCTAAGTACTCTGTAATGGTATTCCTAATAAAAATTCCACTCCCCCGTCCTCTCTCACCCCCATTTATATCCTTCCTATAGCATCTTTACCCTGGAACATTAAGCTGCCAGTCCTGTCTCCCTGAGCCACGTCCCTGTAATTGCTATGATATCCCAGTCCTTTGTTCCCAACCATGCCCTGAGTTGATCTGCCTTACCTATTAGGCCTCTTGCATTGAAATAACTACAGTTTATTTTATCAGTTCTACATTGTTCTCTGCTTTGTTCCTGCCTGGCCTGACTGTTTGACATGCTCCTTTTCCCAACCACACCAATCTCAGAGCTATCTCTGAGTCACACACTCTTCTCTCCCTCTCCCCCGCCCCCCCTTAATAGGTTAAATCCTCCCAAACAGGTCTAGCAAATCTCCCTGCCAATAAATTAATTCCCTTCCGATTCAGGTGCAATCAGTCCTCCTTGTACAGGTCACTTCTACCCCAGGAGAGATTCCAATGGTCCAAAAATGTCAATCCTTCTCCCCTGCACCAGCTCCTCAGCCACGCATTTATCTGCTGTATCCTCCTGTTCCTACCGTCACTAACTCGTGGCATCAGGAGTAATCCAGATATTACAACCTTCGAAGACCTACTTTTTAAATTTCTGCTCCATTTCCTACATTCTGTCCACAGAATCTCGTCCTTTTCTCATCCTGTGTCATTAGTTCCAATGTGTACAACAACCTCCTATTTGTATCTCTCCCCTTTGAGAATAGTCTGCGTCCTCTCCAAGATATCTTTGATCTTGGCACCAGGAAGGCAACACACCATTCTGATGTCTCACTGTCGGCCACAGAAACATCTGTCTGTGCCTCTGACTCGAGAGTCCCCTATCACAATCGACTACTTGGAACCTGAGGTACCCCTCATTACATTAGAGCCAATCTCAGTACCAGAAACCTGGCTGTTAGTGCAACATTCCCCTGACAGTCCATCACCCCTTATATTTTCCAAAACAGCGTACTTATTTGAGATCGGGATAGCCACAGGAGACTCCTGCATGACCTGTCTCCCTCTCCTACCTTTCCTGGAGGTTTAGGGTGCTGGCAGGTAGAATAAATGTGGGAAAACGGAAAGTTGTTTACTTTGGCAGGGAGAATAAAAACGTAAAGTATTATTTACAGAAGAGAATAACCCGAGAAAGTCCAAGGTGCAGATGGATTTAGGTGTTCTGGTTAATGAATCATTAATGTTAGGATGCAGGGCCATACAAAATCAATAAGGCTAATGAGATTCTAATTTTTATTATGATAGGAATTGAACATAAAAGTAAAGGTGTTATGCTTCAATTATATGGGGCATTAGTGAGACTGCACCTCAAATACTGCATTCAGTTTTGGTCTCTTTATTTAAGGAAGGATATAAATGCATTAGAAGTGGTTCAGAGAAGGGTTACTAGATTTATACCTGGAATGAGTGGGTTGTCATATGAGGAAAGATTGGACAGACTAGGCTTGTTTCCACTGGGGTTTAGAAGAATGAGGAGTGACTTGTTTGAAGTGTATAAGATCCTGAATGGTCATGATAAAGTGAATTTGGAAAGAATGTTTTCCATTGTGGATTAGTCCAGAACGAGAAGGCACTGTTTTAAAATCAGTGATTACCCTTTCAGGACAGAGATGAGGACATTGTTTCTTTCTGAGGGCCATGTGAATTGGGAACAGCTTGAGGGGCTGAATTGTGTTTTCCTGCTCCTAGCTCTTACGTTCTTATGAATGTTGCATAGAGATGGCTAGATTCTTACTTGTTGGAGAGAGTCATTGGTTGGCGGTTGTCAGTCTAAACTTGGTTGTTGTCCATGGACTGCTTCAAAATTGACTCCTATGAATAGCGCTGAACATTGAACGAGCATCAGAGAACATCCCCACCTGTGACCTTTATAACAGAATGAAGCAGCTGAAGATAGTTCGGCTTAGGACAGAACCCCGAGGAACTTGAGAAGGGCTCTTGTGATACAGTATTAGTGACCCTACCTCAGAATCACAAAGCCTGGGTTTAAGCCCCACCTGCTCCAGAAGTGTGGAACTATGAACAGGTGATTTAGAAAATGTCTATCCTGAGCATCCTTTGCAGTGAC